AGCGCCAAAAGCCTGCTATGGAGAGGCTTGTTGCTTACGATGGAAACAGAAGTACTTGTCTTGTCATTCCCTTTACTGCAACAATCTGTTCAGCTAGTTTGGCTTTCCTTCAGGCTGGTTCCAGGACATCCAAGAAGCAGGGAGCTGCTGAGCAGAGCTAGGGCCCAGCTCTGCTGCAGCACAGCAGGGAGAGTCCTGTGTCTAGCACTGGCTGCTTTGCAGCCCTGTTGCTCTGCTAAATCACAAGTCTTGTGCTCCTGCCTTTGCGTACCGGTTGAGCAGCCCTGATAGGGAGAGGGGTTCCCCCCCACCGCCGGCACACTGCCTTGCTGCTCAGCTGCAGCACTGTGGAGCAGAGGCTCCACCCCGTGCTCCTTGCTCCCGTCCTGGGCAGGGAGAAGCAGGACGGCTTCTTTCGACTCTGCTTAAGTGACTTTGGATAGCAAAGAGCTGTCAGGCTTCAAGGTGTCTCTTGCGGTTTGACTACCGTCGCGTCCCAGGTAGGAAGCTCTTCCTCCTGGGGGAGACCGTGAGTGCAGAACCCCCTTTCTTTCTAATCAAGTTCCTCATTATTATTCTGAAGGTGGGGAGTGCCAGCTTCTGGGCTTTGCTCTTTTTCTGAGGGCTTGGGCGGGGGGGAGTTCATCACAATCTGAGATCCGAAAGAGCATTAAAATCTAAACGTCACGCTCGTCCGGCAGCGTGCTTGTTGCTGGAGTAGGAGACCAGCTCCTAAGGTCAGGCTGCTCTTGGTGCGCGCAGATGACTCCTTTCCAGCGCTCTCAGCTCTGATACCTGTGCAGGAACAGATCAGAACGTGTCCACTGCTGCCGTGTCAGTGTTAATCAGAAACAGGGCTGATATGCAGCCTTTTCTCAAAGGCTTGGTTGCAGGAAATGGTGCTGCTTGCCTCCCTGGGAGGCAGGGAGAGGCTTGTGCTTCCTAACTGGACAGGAGCTGCTCATAGCTGAATAAGGAGATGACAGAGCTCAGGCTTGTACTACAGAGGTCTGTTGTATAACCACTCTTAAGGGAAAAAATAAAAAGTCCCGAGGAAGGTGAAAAAATGTCATTAGCAGAACAGTTCTAGCTGGTTGGTTTTCATTTTGATTGAGTGGTTTTATACTGAGTAACCTGTACCAGAAGGGAGGAGAGGAAAGCTGCTACCCCTCCTGCTGGGTGGAAAGAGGAGATCCTGCAGGCTTTCAGAATGCTCTCCTGAGGAATGAGTGAGCTGCCAAGCTCACTTTCATGAAGGTAAAACCAGGGCAGGTCTTTCAGATCTTTGAATCTCTTCCTGTAATCAAAACTGATGCTGATTATCCTGAACGCTTTGGATAAACTAAACCTGCAAGGCAATTGAACAGTGCGGTGAGTGCCAGAGAGTCTGGCGTTGGCTGAACCTGGTGATGCAAAGCGATAAAGGTGTGTGCTGAGCCTGCTTACGGAAACGAGTCTGATCGTGCCGTGCCTGACGGAGGTGGGTGTGCCAACCCAAGCGGCCTTTGCTGAACGGGCTGTTCAGCTGCGTGCGGAACTGACTGAAGACGTAAAGTTACAGTTCAGAGAAAGGAAATAATCTCAGCACATAGCTTGCATTATATGGGATCCAGAACCTTCTCTGAGAGCAAATATTGGAGTTATTTTCCAGTCCTGTTGCAGTAGATAGGTTCTCCTGAGGCATGCGGTCGCGTCTACAACTCAGGCTGCAAAGCTGCAGGCCTGGGACTCTTTTCCCTCAGTGACAGTGAAAGAACAACCAGAACCCAACAGCTGGTTAGCGCTAGTCCAGATGTGGAAGCTGCTTTTGGCTGGCAGAGGACAGAGACAGTCTGGTCAGGACTGTCACTGTGTTAGTCACCTAGCCATTTGTCCGGTGAACCTCTTAGCAGCACCGATTTGTCCTTTGCCTCTGGCAGTAGTATTGAGTCAAAATCACTCCTGAGTGATGCTTCCATGATTGTCCCGCCAGCCAGGCCAAAGAACTGACTGCAGCTGCCTTCTGAGCCAAGGAGCAGCTCTGTCCTGCTCATTCTTAACATGCTGCTTTGCAAATCTCACTTCACCACCAAGCTAGCTACTGGTACAGCTAAGCAGAGGGATGGGAAGATGGGTGTTGAAAATGCTCATTTAAAAGCTTCCCAAATGTTGTTGCTCTGGTTCTTCCTGTTAGTTCAGGAGCTCTTCTAGGAACAACTGGGTTGTCAGTAGTGCCTGTGCTTAGGATTGGGGCTTGGACTTGCATGAGGACTGGTCCTGTGGCCCCCAGGGAGGGATGCATGGTGGGTTGCAGAGTCGTATTTCCTTGGAAATGCAGCCTACATCCTGCAAAGTTACTGCTGGCTGTTCCCTGCCCATATCCTTTCTTGACCCTACTCACGGTCAGCAGCTGAGGGATCCCAGCTGGTGCTCATCCACCTGCCCTTGTGCTGGCAGGGCCTTTGGTGGGGGTGAGAGGCATGCTGAGAGCAAGCTGATAATGGCAAAACAGGAGCAAGGGCAGTGCTTTATGGCATCTGCGGCAGGTGAGAGGGAAGGGCAGGCCAGGTGGGTGCTTGTTATGAATCCCTGGGTGTTTCCCAGTTAGCCACCCTCGTGTGGGGGCTTAGGTCAGTTCTGGGCTCTGATGCTGTGCACTGGGAGGCTGGGGGAGGGTCCTTCCTCACAGCAGTAGCATCTCTGTCTTGAAACAGTGTTGAGAATTCCCTTGAGATGAATCCCTTCCCTGCTTTTGTGGGAAATGCAGAGGGAGGCAGAGGAGGGGGGGTCCCCAGAGCAAGGAGGAGCCCAAGACAGTAAGTAGAGGATGGTGAACCATTCTCAAACCCTCTCCTGTCTTATTTTCCCCTTGCCAATTGCCTGTATTTGCAGTAGGCAGAGACGCAGGAGCCAGGCTCTGCAAAAGTAGTCGTGCGCTCCAGGTCAGGGAGCTTGTTGGGTGGCTCGAGGGCACCGGGGCCTTTGGACCCTGGCTGGGAGCCAGCTGCTGCACCCAGAGCAGGGCAGCACCGAGCCTCACCCTCACTTCTTGCTATGGGGCTCTGCAGAGATGCAAGATTCGCCACGG